TACCATAAAAGAATTTGTACAAATAGTATATGTATAATCTAAAGTTGTACCATAACATTAAAGATACAATTTCAAGTTGTACCATAAAGACAAAAACCTATAGCGCCAATACTATATAGCATTGTAAAATTTCTCTCAAATGATCTCCATTATCCACACACATATTTTCTTTTTCTGCTCTCTATCTTTTTTTTTTTTTTTCTTCCATTCAAGTAATTAGTAGGGTATAATCAAAAAGGCAAAATAATTAGCTAGATTTTACTGAAAGCAATTAATAAAAGATAATTGCGGTTCTTTAATAACTCCATGCTAACTTTTTGGCGTGGACTGAAAATCAAAGGTGGTTATGCCAGGAATAATTAAATCAGACGACCGAACTTTTAGTCCTTTTCTGGAGTTTACAGTACACTCGGCCACACATGATCCTACACGTCATCTTCCTACCCCAACCTCATCTCTTCTCTTCTGGTTTTGCCATGAATAAATATTGAACTAGCTTATTACCCGACCCGTTGGCCGGATTACTGTATGTTACCCACTTGTGGAATGGGAGAGAAAGCAAGTGAGAGTGAAGGGATTGAGATTCCACTTGATTAGGACCAACCCACTAATCCAATTCTTCCCAACCCGCCCCAACCTACAGGGTCAGAAAGAGTCAATAAGAAAATACGAAAGGGGAGGATTAGTCATATATCTTGACTCTTTAGAAGTGGGTCAAACAGAATCAAGGTTGGGTGAGGGCAATTTTTAGCGCTAAGCAGAGTTCTGGGTTGAATACCTTTACTTAGGCCTAGAAATTGGTGCTGATGCACACTGCAGTTTTTATTATACCATCATCAATCATCATTGAATTAGTCCTGGACATCCCTCCCCGTTGTCGGTCTGAATTCTAATGATGGCTTCATTCCTTGCACCAGCCATATCAGCGAGTTGCCATCTCAAGCATGATTTGCCTATGTACAAATAATACAATTAGAATATGAAAATGAATTCAATGAAAAGGAAAAGAGAATTCTATCACATGCCAATAAATACACACATAATAGTTGAAGCTAAGTGAAAGTCATTACTCGCACATCAATTTTCAAAAATTACAGACTAAACATTGGCTAGAATGGCACTGAAACTACCAAGAATCATGGACGAAACAACTTGTCAAATTAAATAATCCTTATACTGAAACTACCTTCTAACTTGAAATAAGACATGATCACAGTTCATAGCTCTCTTCTCACTATGAATTGGTTGCAGCTCGTCCTTATCACTGCCTCTCAAGCTCAATTCAAACATAATAGAGACCGTTGTGTAAGATAACCATATTCTTACTGATCATAATTCCTTTTTTCACTCCATTTTTGTCGGAGAAAAGAGTTATCCCCCTCTCCTACATTTTCCTTTCCCCCTCTCTTCTCCCTCTTCTTCACAAACCGATCCCTAAACCAGCAACAACAACACAAAAATAGCCTTCGCCTCTCCCGTCTCCATCTATTGAACGCGTTGGTGGCAAGACAGGACTGCAGAAGCAAAATTTTCTAAAATCAAACTAAATTTTTTGAAGCAGACTCAACCACGAAAAAAGAGTAAAGCAACAATGCAGTAGAACCCTAAATTTAACTACAATCAAGCACATATCAGCAAGATTTTCGATTTGTCTGAGAGTTAACTACACGGAGAGAACAATTGATGCATAATTGAAATGCTCCAAGCAAGTTGAAGGCAAACCATAACTTTAGAATTTGGTCATTATAATAACCTTCAAGTATTGATGCTTCTAAGAACTATCATGTCCAACCCCCACTTATACAACTACGTAGCCATAGTAATTAGTTGTATAATGAGAAATATTACAAAGAAAACTACATAAACAACCAATGTAAGTAAATATTAAAACTAACAACTGATAAAACTTAAAATCTCTCTATTGGTATAAATGTATCTATTAGTAACTACTATGCAATCGAGTATATATGATTTTTAGGCACTGAATAAGAAAAGTATAGATGGCTCACAAATGAAGACGTAGCAACTGAAGGTAGCACACAAAAACCAAAAATAGAAAAAGAGATAAGAAAAAGGCGAGAAAAAGTCAAACAAAGAAAAAGCCTTCATAGGAATACCTCGCTAGCTTTAGGGACTCTCTGCCACAACAAACAACCTTCTTAAAAATCTAAAACCCTGAGACATCAAACAAACCTCCCACGACACTAATGTATGACATTCCTATTGTCCAATAGGTTTGCCCAATTTAGACTTCTAAATAAATGGACTTTTCACCATTAAACCAAAACTCACAATCATTAACAGTTAATGCAAAGACATACATTTCTGAGGCCAATCACAGCATTTAAGCATAATTTTTAGTTGAAAAGAACAACTAAGTATTTAGCTAAATGATATAGTAGAATGGACACAATCTGCTACCTACTAATGATATAAACGTGTACCGGTACCATCGTTGTATCCTGACTTGCCATTTGCAACGGGCACTTTGAAAGACAGCTGCATTTTAGAGAACAAACACCCATAAGGGCGTTACGAAACCAAGCTTAATCCAAAATCTTCATATTCCACTTCGAAGACTCCATTTTCAAAAATAAGAGAGTTTAACATGTCAAATCACTCATTTGAAAAATCTCAAACAACTATTAATCAAGGCAATATAAAGGCACGTTCCAAATTATGTACTTGTAGGAATAATCCCAAATAATTATCAATTAATGCCCCAACTATCTAATGTGCAGAATAGCCCTGGAGCTGTGTTGTTGTTTGCGTTGGTCTACCTTCAAACATAACATAGTTGCATCACGAACCAAAGCAATTAAGCAAAAATCTTCATATTCCAAATAGAATGACTCAATTCAATTTGGCCAATGCTTTATACATATTGTTTACCCCTGGACCTGTTGCACTTGCGCCTTCAGATCTTCGTGAACACAATACAATTGCGGAGAGGAGGCTGTCAACGGAATAAAAATTGTTAATTAAGTGAATCACCATACAACTAAACAAACGCGCTCTTCTTGATTAGCTATCAAAATAGTGGGGGTCGCTACAATCCATCGGTTGCCCCCTCTGCGCTTAAGTTGTAGATATTAGGTTTCAGTGAGAACTTTGAGTACATGAGGAGATATTTTGTAGTGGAGGAGATGACCCGGCGAGTAGAATAGGAAGATTTGGAGAGGTTGCGATGGGCAAAGCAGTTAAAATCGAGATTTTACCTAAAATCGAAAACTGGGGTAAAATCAAAATCGTATAATCGAATCGTAAAATCGTAGGATTTTAAGTACCATATAGAACATAGCATATAAGAATATTAATAAGGTAAATTATTAATATCACAAAGACACATAGCATTTAAAATGATAATTCGGAAGATTTTTTTTCCATAAGATAATTCTCAAGATTAATGTTCCAAAATCACTATTTTAATTGTTATTTAATGTGTAACTCAAAATAATTCATGATGAAGGGATATAGTTCATGGGTTTGGCTCTTATTTTCATATTATGTCTAGGTTGTTTAACTCAAAGTAATATTTCGACATCGTCTACTAAGTATGATTTAAAACTAAAAATAATTGAACTCCAATAAAATAAGTAATGTTAGTGGGTTGGTACAAATATATTCATTAATGAATTAATTAGTTAATAATGATGTTAGTTCTTACATACTTCCAATATTAGGGCAGGTGTTTTACCAATAAGTTAAATGGGGTGAAGGGAAAGAGATTAACCGAACCATAATTTGGTTATTTTTATTATTTTTGAATATTTTTATAATAGAAAAATATCTGAGAAGATTCCATTGCCCTTTCCGCTGAAACAGTTATACTTATTTTAAATTGGCTCAAACCACCTATTTTGTTCTCTTACGATCAAAATCCCGATTTCGGTACTATTTTACGATTTTAACGATTTTAGTCCCGATTTTAAACGATTTTAAGGTCCACCGATTTTATAGTAAAATCAAGATCGGAATCCCTAAGTAAAATCCTAAAATCCTACGATTTTACGATCAAAATCCCGAATTTGACTGCATTGGCGATGGGTGCACGATTAGTGGGCCAAATAACAGTTTGGGCCCGTTTAAATGAAAACATATTTTTACTTTCGTGCTCAACAGACCGACCACACTGGCATCTTCTAAATTTACCCCTAAAAAATTGCTCTGTACGCATCAAATTTGAAATGGAATCCCTCTTTTCTCATTTCACATTTCACATTTATATGATGTGTAGATTGTGATGAGTGTAGATGTAGACCTGTCATTGTCCTACAAATTCATTAACACGCCAAAAAGTGGTGAAATGAGCCACCCTATTAAACACAATCTTGTATAATGATCATTGGATCCAATCATGCCAGATTATGAAGAAGTTTAAAATGTAGCGGTTATCCCGACTAAACCATTAAAAGAACCAGTCTCATATAGTTTGCACAAAGATATAATTTCTCCATAGTAATTCTGAAAAATAATATTAATTTAAGAAGTCGATATTGCTTCTACTTTTTTAATATTGCAATTCGATATGCAATATTCGAACCAGTGATATTTGGGCTGCAATTTTAGGGTTATTGTATATTTATAAAATAGATAGAAATTTAAATTAAGTATTAAACTACAACTAAAATAATCAAAGTATTAAAACACCAAATAAGTACTTACGGGAGATTTAGTGGCCAACTAATCGTTAAAAAAGTCATATGATTTTCATAATTTAGGTTCGTGTGTGTTTGAATTTAAATAGATACAACAAATATACTTAGTGTGATTGGTTATGATCATTGCTTGCCTTTAAATGGACCAAGGTTCAAATCCCAGTTCATGCCTTTTTTATGAATAAATAAATAAGAAAATAAGCAATTGTGAAGACCAAAATGTCCTTCCTATAATCACTCTCGTTGCAGGAAATTTGAAATGGAGCAACAGTTTTCATCATTCGGCTTTTATTTATTATCTAGACTAGATCCACGTTGTTCCTTATCTCACTCTTACCCACTGCCCTCCTAACTGCAAGAATTTTTTTTTTAATTCTCTGGAAAAAAAAAAAATCTTACGTTGTTTTACTCGTCTAGTCTTCTTTGGTTTTTCTATTTCTTGCTGCTCTGCCCTGGAATCTCTCTCGTCCTTGTGTAGGAGCCTTTCTTTCTCTGTCTCTCTCACAGGTCTCTCAACTTTCACTCTCATCCGCTTCTTCTTGTTTTCTTCTTTTCCCCCTCTTCACCCTCTCCCAATAATAGAACGAGTAAATAAATACCCTTCGTCCAATTTCATCAGAGCATCTTCTACATCTTTCTTCTGGGTACTGGATTTGAAGTGGGTGGGTGGGTGATTGTGTTGGTTTAGTTAGCTACAGGAGGCAGCTGGTATTCGTGTCTATTTGTTTCTCGTGGGGGGGAGCGAGGATGAATCGATGTGGGTATGAGCAGAAGGCCGCCATGGCAGCAGCAGCTTGTGAGGAGAAGAGGGAATTGGGGATGGTGGTGATGATGGAGACTGTTATTTGTCCCAAGCCTCGTCGATTGGGCGCTTTGAATCCTTCTCTCGCTACCACCTCCTTTATATTTGTTCCTCCTTCCCCTCCTATGTAGGATTTGCTCATTTCTGAGATCGTCTTCCGTCGACGATAACTCTTTCCATTTCACCGTTCTGATCATTTTAAGGGAAAATTCTTTTTCGGTGCAGGCATCATTACCTAGCGGAGGCCGATGATTCAAAAGTTGGGGCGGAGCTTCTCGACATAATCCTCTCCAAGGTCGCTCTTTCTCCCTCTCTAATTGTCATTCGTTGCGTCAATTCCTTTGGTTGCGTTTCGATAGAGAGAATTTCAAGCGATCGATTGAGGGATCTGATGAAGGATTTGGGGGCTTTTTTTTTTGTTTGACAGGGAGGATACCAAGTGGCGTCGTCACCGCCATTCTATTGCGGGTCGCCGCCGAGCAGAGCGTCGAATCCCGTCATCCAAGATGCGGAATTCGGGAGCAAAAACAAAGCGGTGGTGGGTGCGTCGTTTTCGCCGGCCGCTTCCCCGTTGTCGCCATCCACGTCAGCCTCGCGTGGGTGTGTGAGATTGGGGCAGAAGCCGGCCACCGTGAGGATCGAAGGCTTCGATTGCCTCAACAGAGACGGCCGACAAAACTGTCGCATCTCTGCCGTCGCATAATTAATAAAAAAGAAACCACTCCACATTTTGGTAGGTTTCCAAAACTACAATCAAATAAGTCAGAATTTTGATCTGGATAGAGAGTAAAAGCAAGTGACGTTTTCGAGCTCAAAGGTTGGGCAATTATTTTCCTGTTCTTGTGTAAATACGGAGGGAGGGAGTACTATAAGTAGGATCAAGCCATTTCATTCCATTTTCCAAATAGTTGGCGCTTATGTATGAGGCTACTAGGGTCGTTGTTCTTCACCTCTGTTTGATCCGCGACCTTTGCGATTACGTTTGAAGGATCGATTGTTGCGAAGAACAGATGAAGATGAAGCTACATCGGATGGTGTTGAGTTATGGAGGAAGTAATAAATAGCTCTAGCTAGGGTTTGGGGAGAGTTCCAAATGGTGTCTCTCCCCTCTTTTCCTTGGTGATGGTGATGATGAATAGGTACATTTTGTCAATAGATCAGATCAGTTTATATGTCCTCTGTTTCCATATGAGATGTTTTCCTAATTGTAGAACCTTTTTTTCCCTTTAGTATGAGATATTTTGATTGGTCATTTGAGAAAATTGTAAGAAAGTTTTGAAATTTGTTGTGTTTTTGCAACAAACATGTTATGATGATATGTTCCCCCTAATCTGATTCTGATGATGATAATGATACAACATTGTGGTTCCGTTCATTCATTACTTACATTACACAATTAATACTCCTGATTTTTAATTTTGTATTGTCTCGTGCAATGTTTGGCAAACAGTATTACATATCGTACTGGATAAGTTAGGGAATGGAATCCAAGTGATATAATCTCTTTATAATCAGTATAATGTGAGTGAAAAGACACCAGATATGTTGTGGGCTGCTAGTTTACCCGCGTTAAATTGTTTGGTTATGTATGTATATCATATCAGTTCGAATGACGATCTTCTTTCGTGATATGACACCCTTAACCATGCTTCATTGATAGTGATTAGTTCTATGAAATTGGAGCTAATGTACAAGTGGTAGATATAAGAAAGAAGGCCATTCCTCTGTAACGGAAAGTGGTTGTTCAGTTGTTCTTTAGAGCATCTCCATCAATGCAATTGTAAACTCAATTGCATTTGTTTTTTTTTTTTTTTGCCAACTCAAAAAATTTGCAATCCATCTCATTTTACTTTTATTATACCTACATCAATGCAATTCATTTGCAATTGCATATGTGATTTAATTCCACATATAAAGGTAAAAAAAAGAAAAAAAAATAAAAGAAGAAGAAAACAATCGGTCCTTCCCATAAAAATAGCCATGTTGGCTTTCACTTCCACTTGCATTAGGCTGACTCCAATGGAGTCGCCATTTAAGCCCAAATCGCTATTAATGGCGAAAATCGCCATTTGGGTCTCCATATTTGGCGAAGGGAATGCCGATCCCTGCATTTTTGGCGATCGGGAGGGGTGGTGGCGGGTACAACCGCCAGCCCGGGCGGTGCGCCGCACGCCTGCGGAAGAGCTGCTCTCCCGCGCGCGTGCGGCACACCACCCGGGCTGGCGGTTGTGCCCGCCACAATTTCTTTTTTTTTTTGTTTAATTAAAGGTTAAGAGTTTAATTAGTGCTTTAATGATGAAAAATTAGGGAATCACCTTTAGATTTATCATTTTTAAGTATTGTGTGTAAAGAAAAATTAGGCCAATTATTTTTTATAAAAATAATTCTGTGCCGAAATTTATAAAAATTCTATCGGAAAATTTATATTTAAAAATAATGATGATCTATATTAAAATTAACATGAATAAATTTGATTAAGATGATCATAAGTACATTTTTAAGTAAAGAACTACTAGAAAAAATGAAAAATCCCCAAATTTGGAGATGGTAGCATTGGAGCAAAATGGGAAGAATCTCCAAATTTAGGGATGAAGATCCCCAAATTTGGGGGCTAGCATTGGACTTGGCCTTATATGCAAGATTGCAAAAGTGCAATTGAGGCCTACAGCAATGCAGTTACAGTTGCAAGCATTCCACGTCACTTTGCAATTGCAAAATGTGACCGATGGAGATGCTCTTATAGAATCCACTAATTCCGGTTTCCAACTGTGGAAGAAGAAAATATTTCTGGCGCATTATTTGTTCCAACGCCATGCCATTGTTGCCACGCGTTGGGAACCAAAATTACTGGGCGGCGATTGTGGTGAAAAAAGCCTTACCAAAAAAAGGAAGAGTATGGCGTGGAGAGAGACTGATGCTTTCTTTATATTCACTCGCAAAAAAAAAAAAAAAAACGCTCCTTTATGAGTTAGGTGGTGAAGATTAGATGATTGACCTTGAAAGGGGAGGTTTAGACACACAAACAGTGTGAGAATGGAGGCAAAAAAATGCAATAGAGATGAACTGTGAACACATATCGATCGAACATTGTCACGGTGTTGTCTAAGTTCGGTGGTAGTTCTCGAAAACGTTCCAACGAATTTAGTGTTATTACTTGCAAGTTGCAACAACGTATCAAGAAAATATTTGTCTTGCCACACTTGCTTATCGTTTGAGGTTGTTAATTGTGTTTATGGTACCGTGGAACACCGTACACCAAATACATGAAGCAAAGAATTTTGGTAGGAAAAGGTAGAGTGTAGACTACACGCCTTATGAACAAAAAACATCCTCTCTAATGAAGTTGATTTCAAAGTCTAAGTGATGGTGAATTTTATTCTCTCTTTTCTACTACTTCAGTCCTGAGACCTTTAAATTTTTCTACGTGGGTTAGGTCAATATTATTGCATCTCTTGATGGTCCCAGTGTTTTCATTCATCTCCTCTAAGAAAAACTTGTATTCGCCATGGTAGAAAATTGCAATGGAAAACTCATAAAACGAAATAATGTGTGTTCATACTTTCTTTCGTAGGTTGTTTTGTTCTGTATTGTAACAGCGAGAAACCCCTATCTTGTTTATAGGAACACGAGGTACTCCTTTCTCACTATCGAAAAGGAATCCAAAAGTGTTTAGGAACAACTCTCTATACACATAACCAACTCCCACAATTCTCACTTCTGTACAATCAATACCGATGATAATCGTAAGCCATAAGGTTTTGAAGCAAAGCTTAATTTTTCGTTCAGTCTATATGAAACTCTCAAGTTTGGAGAGGAGATCCTTTCACCCACCACCTAATTATGGGTGATGTTGACATTCGATTTTGAGTGTTGAGAAGTGAATTGAGTTGATGTAAGGTGGACTCTATGAGCATCTCCATTACCCAAGGATAAAGGAGATCAAAATGATCTATCAAGTCTCAAGCAAGAGGCGATTGATTCATCTAAAACAAAATAAGGGCAAATAACTAAATCATAGAAAGAGATTAGAGCTTCGCTTTGGGGGGCGTTCTTGAAATTTATGTGAATGTAGCGAGATTTACGAAGATACTCCTTACCCTAATGTCACACAATTAACTTGATGGCTCGAATTGTAAAAGACAATTATGAATACAATAATGTAAGATTACTGAAATGTACATGCTTAGAAATTTGTACATTGATAAATTTACATGTGATCTTTCACACCTCCCGGAAAAACAAAATTTACATATTTTTCTAGCCAAATCTACAGATCAGATGAGACCAGTTCATGTTGCCTTCAACTTCACACTCCCCACCAATGTGTATCCAATTATTACAAAGCTAAGAACCTTAACCCAAAAGAAATTAGGAAGCCTAGCAAAACTTTACACATGACGTAGGCCACAACCCAACCATAAGCATGTGCTCTACACTGCAATCCCCTAAAATGGTCAGGAAATGGGGCCAGTTAGTAAATGAGTTGGTGGTTGGTTGCTATCTTATTCCATTTTTATGCTCGCCGCGATCTACTGGAACTCGCACTGCTCGGTCGTTGCAAGGAAGAGCTCCCACCGGAGGCGCCACTGCCTATAGTACTTTTCTTAACACCTGAAACAGGATCACAACAACAATCATATAGTAACAATGGTTCCTGATTTCGTACAAATCACATTTCTGAAATCTTATCACTAGATTCAGAACATGATTTACTTGTTGATCCTTTCAGAGGGTCTCTGGACACCGTCACCGTCGTCGACGGTCTAGCGTCCGACAGCTTCTGCAGGCTCCGGGCCTTCGTCATCCTAGCACCACGCCTGCTGCACCACAAAGACAACAATTAATGAACTCCCATATTGGAAATGGGAAAGAAGATTAAATTGATGATAAAAATCTGACTTTTCTCCAGGCTTGTCGGCGAGTGGTTTCCCGGCGTCGTCAGCGGTGGATTCCGGCTCCGTCCCAACAGAAGCTTCACCGTCGGAAACGTCGCTGTGATCTGATAAAGCTGTAGTCTCAGTCAGCCCTAACCCTCTCTCCCCTGAAGCCGACTTCCTCGTGCGAAGCCTCGCCGGAGGCTTCTCCACACTGCTCTGGTGCCCTTTGAACACTTGCAGCCTCTCTATCTCTTCGTCCTTGTTCGCAATCGTGTCTTTCAAAGACGCCAACTACAAACAGAAATCCCCCCAGATTAACACACGCATTGATCACTGAATTCATAAGCTTATGGTGGAATTGTTAACCAAACCTGATCCATTAGCTCTTTAACGTCTCTTCCCGGATTGCTCTTTGCCGCACCCAGCTCGATCCCTGTAACCCTTTCTGCAAACTTTAGGGTGCTTAGGCTCTCTGAATACGACGTCGCATCGGGGTTCAGCTGGATGAACATCAAGGTCTTTGCTTGTCCACCTATGGCGACGACAATAATTAGGTCAAAGATAAACCCTTTGGCCTTTTCCACTGATCATATTTGAAATCAAAGTTCTTACCGAGAGAGCTTTGGAGCAGCTGGGTGAGCTTGCTATTCCTGTAAGGAACATGGGTAGATTTCTGGGCAAGAGCGAAAATGACGTCTCCCAAAGCAGAGAGCGATTTGTTAATATGTTGAGCCTCCTTCAGCCGGTCTCCGGTGACTTCTGACCGGTCAACCCTCTCACTTCCAGCCAAATCAACCAAATGGAGATTCCCAAACAGAGTAGTCCCGGCTTGCAAATCTTTCCCGCGGACGTGGACGCTGAGGACGCTATGGGAGCGGCTGCTTCTTTCGTTCATCGCCGTCGCACTGACGGTTCTATTGCTCAAGCCAATGTGCATCAAGTCCATCACGTCGGAAGTTGACGCGACCGGCAGCATCGTCGCGTCGGGGACGGCGATCCCGTTGCTTGATGGTGTCGTTAGGATCCCGAGCGTGTGGGGAAGAATTGAATCAAGGACCACAAACAAATTGAGAAAGTAAATTAAAAATGAAGAATGAAGGGCAGAAAGAAGAAAAAAGAAGGATATTTCTTCTGGGTGTCATTGGTTAGCAAGTCTCTGACTTGCTCGTTGTAGATTTCCACCATCTGGACTCCAACCTCGTAAGAAATGGAGTCACTTCTGTTCTTTGACATGTTGAAGAGATCCTTTAGAGCTCTGTAGTTCACTCCCCATTCTTCTTCTTGTGCTCCATTTGGACCCAGCTGCAGGTAAATCAAACCTATGCATGTTAGCTTTTACTTACTAGATTGAATAAGCTAAGAGATTGAATGGAGAAGAAAGAACAAAAACCGGTATACCATTGTGTATGTTTTGCCAGACCCAGTCTGTCCATAGGCAAATATGCAGACATTGTAGCCATCTAATACAGATTGCACCAAGGGTTGTGTGTCCAAGTAAACCT